AGTAAAAGAGATACTTGAGCATCTGAGGATTTGGGTATCCAAGATGGATCTTTGAACAAACCCCCCTGTAGATAGGGAGGGACAACTACATTCATCCTGCAGAATGGTAACATGGCACAATATGTGGCCCTTGACATAGGAACTGGCACTTAGTAAATGCTCAAGAAAATGAAATGTGCTGGCTTTCTTACTGTGCTATGTAGTTGTCTAAAGTGACCCTGACAATATGATGGAAGAGAAAGAACAGAGACCTCAACACCAGTACCATCTGTGAATTCAATGAAAAAGGACCTGTCCTCAAAAGGTCCCATGAAAAGTACAGTATCAGCTAATATAACATAAAAGCTTTCGTTTCATTTAATAACAACGTTAACACGCCGAAGAAGAGCAACCTGTAATAGGGCTTCATTCACTATTACATACCCAACCTAACTTGACTGGAGAGGCTGGATTCTTAGTTTTGCCTTGGTTATTAACTCTGCATCCATCAAACTAGGTAGACTCCATAACCCTCCCATAGATTGAAAACACCAGAACACACTTTCCAGGCCCTTGGAAGTAAATCAATGTACCCTCACCTCTCCTTAAACTCCCACTTTGTAAAGAGTGAATGTCTCATTGACTCAACATGTCCCCATTTTAAATTCAGGCATGAACTATGTGCCTAAAGGTGATTGCTGCCACCTGGATGGCTGCACCTGTACTTCTAATGTCCACACAAGGCCAATCTACAGAGGGAGAAAACTCAGTGGTTGGCCAGGGCTGCAGAGGTTGGGAGGAAACAACAATGACTGGTGGTAAAAGCAGGTCCTTTTGGAGATGACAGAAACGTTCTACAACTGATGATGATGGCTGGGTGATCCATGAATATACTAAACCACTGAATCAGATGCTTTGGATGAATAAGCCACAGAAGATACTGTGAATGACATCTCAGTGGTACCCTTATCTTTAAAACCACATTTCTGCCCCACCCATTTAGTCTGTCAGAATAAGGATTCTCTATTTCAGAAAGCAGAAGTCAAATTCAGAGGGATATTCCCCAGCAACAAATCTAGAAATCAACTGTCAATGCATGAAAAGACATGGTTCCCCAAAGCCCAAACCCCTCTAACAGCTTTTCATGTCTGTGAAACAACATTCGGTTTGACATCAAGTCCACAAAAGAGTCACACAGAAAAGCAGCTGCATTCTTCAAATGTTATGTAGACAGGGAGGCAGATAGCCTCTTCCTCGAAGAGGGAAACCTCACCTAACAATAAGTTAATAGGAACAGAAGAGACACTGGGAGTCTTGCATACTTTTTCCCTTTCAATCTCTGGCACTTTGTTTTACATAACCACGACTTGATACAAGCACTATTACCAGAATCCTGCAATGTGTCCATCGCTAGCTAACACAGACAACTGCTGGAGTTCCCAAGAGCTGATCACACATACCTCTGCTAGTTTTCTTTTTCAGGGGCACCAAGTCCTGAGAACCTTGAATGCTGGCATACTGGAGTATTGCTGAACAAGAACTAAGAGGTGCCAAGGGCCTCCAAGTGGTGGTGGTGGAGGGTTGGATTGGGTTTGGTTTGGTTGTTTTAACATTCACTGTGTCTTTCAATCTCTGAGAGATCTGGGTCACTATTTCCACTTTACAGAGGAGAAGCTCAGGCTTAGTAAGGTGCCCAGAGTCAAACAATTAATAAGCGCTGGGGTCAAGATTTGAACCCAAGAAACTTCAAAGCTCACTCATCCTCTATCACTTCTACAGAATGACAGAGAAAACCAGACCTAAACACACAAAATCACCTTGGCTGAAAGAATGATCAGCCAGTAAAAGGAATGGGCCCTGGGTGACTGAGTACCACTCAGAAAAGGTCAGAACACATCACCATCTGCAATGACTGGGAACTGACCAGGCTCAACTATACACCAAATAAGAACTCTCAAATTGGTAAGATTTCCTTTATTTTTAATGTGTGTCCCAACATATTTTGTTGCTTATGCTCTGTGTCCATACCAAGGATGGAGAAGCCATATAGAGTTTAACTTTGTTTTTATGAGGTCGCTTCATGGAGATTTTGGCATATTCAAGAGAAAAACGCAAGAGAAGCTATGATTTAGGCTAATCCAGATGACAGTGTTCCTTCAGATTAAATACAATGTCTCTGGAATTTACAAACTTGTATTTGAATATCTTGAACCACCTTGGGCAGGTTACTGACTCCTTGGTTACTTGGTTTCATCATTCACAAAGTAGAAGTAATATTAAAATGATATAGCTAAATTCTGCCAACCACTGGAGGCCATTTTTAGTGCCTCTGACTCACAGACAAAGGAAATCTAAACCCAGAGGTCTATAAAAGTACTAGTTACAAAACAAAAGCAATGCTACCTACATATAACTGTACATAGCTATGTGTTGATTTTTAAGCTATAGTGGACAAGCACTGGCTTTTCATTAACAGTTATGATCAAAATAGTCTGATTGAAGAAAACTAGTATACAGGAATTCTTTTTTTTTTTTTTTTTGGTTTTTCGAGACAGGGTTTCTCTGTGTAGCCCTGGCTGTCCTGGAACTCACTCTGTAGACCAGGCTGGCCTTGAACTCAGAAATCTGCCTGCCTCTGCCTCCCAAGTGCTGGGATTAAAGGAGTGTGCCACCACTGCCTTGCATATACAGAAATTAATATGATGTACAAAGCAGTAGGCACTTCACAATAACACAATACCTAAAATGGGAGAAAACACTGAAAACTTGTTTTAAGAAGTTATGTCAATCACACGCTCTGTTAAAGCAGTACTTACAAGTAGCAGAGGGGATAATTAGTCATAAAGTATAAAGACAGCATACTTATGCCACTATAAGTCTTTCCAGAGTCTCAGAGCTGACCCATCTGGTTGGTTAACCTTTGAACCCCAATATTGCAATGATTCTTCCTATCTAAAAAATTCATGCTCCTCAAAAATAGTGAAAGACAAATTGCCAGTCACCCAACACGCCTTCCTCAGATCCAGTGCTCAGATACAAAATTCCAAGTCCGAATTCTAGCAGGTTTGGTCCTGTGGGCTCCATTCTGGGCACAAAAGGACCACGAAGATTCCAAAACTCCAGGCCAGTGGATGAAACTGTTTGACTATGGGCTAGTGATTCCCCAAGCCTGTGTTCTTGTTTGCAAAATCAAAAGAGATAGGTGAGATTGACACACAAATAAAGCCATGGCTGCCACAGAGCATTGTGCCTCTGCAACCACAGGGGCAGCCAAATGTTATTGCTACATCCTAGTGTCTAGTGCAATGCCAAGGAAATAGCAGGTACTTTATATGTTTACTGAGTGAAGCCGAGGATCAATTAAAGCTAGCCTGGGGTCAGCCATGCTGGGCTCAGCCATGCCAGTATGGTGCATGCCTTTAATCGCAGCACTGTTAGGAGGCTGAGGCAGGAAGATCACTGCTCCAGGCAAGTATAAGGAAACCCTGTTTCAAAGAAGAGGAGGGGAGAGGGGGAGAGAGGAGAAGGAAAGGGGAGAAGGACGGGGAGCAGAGGTAGAGGAAGAGAGGGAGAGAAGAAACCAATCAAGCAAGACTAAGGGTCAACCAAAATTTCCATACCTGGTTTCTATGTGGACCCCAAACTTACCTCAGACTAGAGATAACTTGTCCCTGAAACAAGGCAGGCCCTGGTCTTTGGTCCTGGAAAGCCTCCTGATGTCTTGTCCTGAGCTTTTATTTCACCCATGAAGACTGGCACTTGCTGCCCTGACATTCCATCCCCTCACTCTTCAGTTTTAAAAGCAACAGGCTTACTAAATGACATCTTGGCACTTAGGTCTCTCTCTAATGAGAATGGAGACCATTCAAACAGCTAGGATCCTACTCTGTTGAAGCAACCATTCCTTAGCTGAATGATATCATCTATTAGGAAACCCATCACAGAGACAGGAAAAGTAAAGAGTCAAAGACAATTCCACTATCTGCCTTCACTTCCTGAGTATCAAAATGAAAAGATCGCCTGAACTATTTTTAAAAGAACCCAATGAAAAGGTACCGTTCTTGCCCTACAAGGTGCTCAATCCTAGAATGTTCTAATTTGGCCACAAGGAGAAACTCTGGGCTTCCTCTGCAAAAGTTAGGTGGCATGCAAATTTTAACACACACATACACCTTGTACCAAGGGGGGGGGAGGGCAGCAAAAAAAAAATCGTTCACAGAAGCTCAGGGAACCTTTTAGATGGGCTTCAACTTCTCTTCTGAGCAAGGGCTGAAGATTCCCTCTTAGCCTTCTGAATTTTAAAGGATAGTGAGGGAGCGGAGCAAGGGAGCCGGAGAAGGAGAAAGACGGATGTGTTCGGTCTATTTTTAAACCTTCGCCCACAGTTTAGAGTAAAGGAACACTCTGGTTCTATACTCCCACCCCTGTCACCTTCTGCTAAGCACAAGAATCAAAACCTGCACACGTACACCACACTGATCTACGTCTAGAGATTACTGTCAGTGCTCCCAGGAATGCAGCTAACCAATCACCCCAACACAGAGAACCCGGTAGTCTGGACTAGGCTAGAGCTGAGTGCAGGGCTCCTGTAGGGCTCTAAGCAGTCAACACCCTCCTCTTCCCAGGGATGGGCAGCCCCTCCTCCGCTCGCTCCATTCCCAAGGCTGAGCACCGAGGTGAGCAGCTCGCCCCTTAAGGACATCAAGCCATGGAAGCGTGGAAATGGGTTTCCCCAACAGGCTGCGGCAGGCTTACGCCATTAACACCTGTGTCGCACACACCCACCCAACCCCGAGTACCACCTGGATGGCCACCTCCCGGCCGACCCCGAAAGCCGAGGGCTGGGCGACCAGATTCCTCCGAGGCAACTAACTCGCTCCTTTTACATATTCTTCTTGCCTCGTACGAGCATAGACACCATTCACTCTGCGCCCAGGGAGGGATGAAAACCGGTAGCGCGCGGGCGACCCGGAGCCGAGCGCCGCCGCCGGGTGCCCTCCTGCGCTGCTCCGGACACTCACTCTTGAGCGCGCTGATGAGCGACTTCCCGTCCTTGATGAGCTCCTTGATGAATTTGTTGGTCTTGTCCAGCTCCGCTTCGTGTGACTTGAGCGTCTCTCGGAAGTGAGGGCTGTCGAGGCAGCAGTCGCTGAACTCGAGCGCCGGGAGCCCCATTCTGCCCGTGGAGCCCGGCTGAGGGGACGCGCCTCGCACGCTGGTCGGCGGACACCCGCGACGACGGCCGATCCACAGGTGTGGGTGGCGCCGGCTACCCCGCGCGCGGGGTCAGCGGGAGCAAGAGACTCAGGACCGCAGCCGGGACCCGGACGGACGGCGGTTGCTCCTGCAGAGAGCTACCGAACTGCACACCCGCAGAAGGCGCGGCAGCGGACCCTTGACGGCGCCTGGAAGCGAACGAGCCGGGCCACCGCCTCCCCGCCTCCTCTGCGGGCTTGCTCCTCAGCAGCCTAGAGCAGCCTGGATCAGCCTCGAGCGCCCTCTCACAGAAGCCTCAGCCGCCCCGCCGGCGTCCGGGCCGCCCGAACCTGCTAGCGATGACCTAATCTCCTGCAGGGCCAATCCGTGAGTTTGCCTCAGCCCGACCCCCGGGGCCGCCAGGGAACGCCCTGCCCTTCCGCGGTTCTAATCCAATCAAATCTTTCTGGAGGCGGAGCCTGGAGAGAGGGGCGGAACCCATACCACCACTGGGTCCGCAGAGCAAGCCCCGCCCTCTCCTGCTCAGCGACGGTTGCAAAGCTATAAGAGCTGGGTGCTGTATTCTGTAGTGGGTTCACCCCCGCCACCCTGAACCTGGCCCGCCCCGTGTAGCTCTAATTCGAGCCTGAAATGAGAAATGAGACGTCTGCTGATCTAGGGAACCGAAGAGCCTAGGTGTGCGGAGCACGAAAAATCCAGAATGAGAACTGCCATTCGCCGTTGCCCAATGGACACTCCTGAGCATTCGAACTTGCACTCAAAATACAGCCACTTGCCCAGAACTCTGAGCGCTCAGAACTCTAATCCCCGCTGCCAGTCAAGCAGAACGTATTTGCTTCTTTTAAATCACCAACTCCCCTTCCCTGCAGTCCTCTCGCCCCCTACTGTCCGTCCCACTAGTGGCCACTCCAGCTCAAAACCCGCCCACGGCTGCTACCCACAGAAGGTTCTCACGTCCTTAGGAAGAATTTAGCCTTTCCTACTGGATTCCTAGCACCGTTTTACACAGTTCTGTCCAATGTCTGTTACTCTTCGCTGCTGCACAGCTTCACGAGGGCACGTGCCGCCGCAGTTCTCTGGTGAGGTGCTGCATTCCTATCGGCTAGAACAGCGACTAGTATTTAAGAACAGATAATATTCGCTGTGTACGACTGTGTGTAATCAACTATGCATCATTCTCCACCTTTCAGAGTGACCACCCTCCCTCTGATCAATCACAAGAGTCAAGGTTAACAGCTCCCTCCAGAGCATTTGGTAGGCTGCGTCCCAGTGTTTAGAACTGAACGAGAAACTCCTAGAGAACAGAGACTGCCCTTGGCTAAATTATCTTTATGTCCAGTAACTAACAACACACCTTCATTGTGTGTGGGGGGCGGGGGGTGCTTCTTTGTGTTTTCAATCAGTCGGCTATTATAGACACACCACTAGACTCAGGATAGAACCGCAAACCCAGAAAGACCTTGAAACTTGACTGCTTCTGTTCTGGAGAGGAGCAGCAACCAAGGAATTGCCTTGCTGCCTTATGTAAGGATGGAAGCCCTAGATGCTTGGGAACAATGGAAAAGAGTTTCAGATTCCACGTGTCAGAAAAAGGAGGCCTTATATGGAAAATAAATTGACATATTGAATGAATGAATGAATGAATGAATGAATGAATGAAATAATGTGATCGATTTCATAGTTTGTATCTACAAAACCAGGCTTGGGAGCAGGCCCAGTTAGCAGATAGATGACAGGTAATTAAACCCTGGAAGCTGTCATCCCTCACTTGCTATGGAGGAGAAAAAAATCTGGACTGAAAACTCCATGAAAGTAAATCTGTTTAGTAGGCTTATCTTGAATCCCTAAAAGTAGGCACTCTGATTATCTATTGCTACATAACAGATCACACAAAACGTTCATGCTATCAGATATTGACTACCTATGTGAAGACTCGGGGTTAGGAGAGAAGCAGGGATCCATCCTGTTGTGTGGGTCCCTACTGTGTCAGCTGGACCCATCCCTCTCCTCAGAAAGACTGGAGGCTTCTCCATGTGACTCTCTGTAGCCTAATTTCCTCAGAGCATGTAGCAAACAAGGAGACACCATCACTTTCTGTGACTTACCCATGGATGTCATATACTTCTCCCTTCGTGGGCTGCCAGCAAGTCAGTCACAAGTTCACTCCAATGAAAATGGAGGAGGACTCAACTTTACCACTAGTTAGGAGAATGACATAAACAGGCAATATTGTCCTACACCATTTCTGAAGAACATATTCTGCCATGGTAGTAGGCCTGGCATATCGTGTAGCATTCAGTAAATGTTAAGTGAATGAAACAAAATGAGATCCACTATTAGCTGTTTAATCTTGTTGAGGAATATTGGGCAAATATCCACACAGCAGTACATGTATGTACAAGTTTCTGCTGTTTTTAACTGTTACTGTTTTTATATGTAATTAACGTCTACAATGTACTATGAAACTTGAACCAGGTTATGTAGTTAATCAATATGTGTGGCACAAATATATTCACAAGCATGTAAATTAATATGATCATGTTACTAGGGTCCTAGGCTATAGGTCCTAATAAGCCAGCCTCAACCACTTACCCTTCTCCCTACTCCCTAGCCCCAAAATGGAGAAAATGGTGAGGGAAAAGCAAAAATGGGGGGGGGGAAGGATTTTAATCAGTGTGGCTATACCCAGAAGAAAGGAAGACCAACCCTTCAGAGATACTGACATGAACTCCCAGATGACACAGAACAGAGCCAGTGGCAGAAAACAGGAAGCATACATAGTTAAACAAACAGCCTTGGGTGAACTGTGATCAATCTACTTGATCATTATCTCAGGCATTAAGTAAATTGCTGTTGCCTGTGAGGTATCCAGAGCTCCTGCACGAAACGATTAGCCATCAGACCTGTTGATCCTGGCTAGTAACCAGCAGCAAGGGAGCCCGGTGCAAGATGGAAGCAGAGATGATAACTTGTTACCACGTTTACCGTTAGCCACTGGACACCTCCCAGCATCTTCATGCCCAAGTGAAGAGTTGCTACTTACACCAAAAGCAGCTCCTATGTCCTTGATACAGCCATTCACAAATATGTTACGTGTATAGACAATGGAGAAGAGCCCTGAAAATTCACTCTGGAGTCCTGGCAAACACCTTCCCACTCTTTTGGCAGTATTGTGAGAAAGAGGGACTTAGAATATGGCAATGCTGAATGCAAAATTTTGTATGTAGAGGGTGTGCCTGTGTCTTCTTAGAAAGCAGGCCCCACAGGGAAGAAGACTTCAGAGATGCAGGTTTGTCAATAAGGTGGGGGTGGGAGGTACAGAGGTAATAAAGACTTGAAACTAGATGGAAGATGGTAAGGTCAGAAATGACTTTCACCTGAAAAGGAGAAATGATGCCAGTACAGAGTGTCTCTGGCACTAGAGCTGAACTTCTCTTGCTGTGGGGTTTATTTGGTTACTTCATTTGTTTATGTTTTGGTGGCGTGGTGGTGGTTATGGTGAAAGGGACTTTGGCCACCTTAAACATGGCAAGCATGGTTTTCGCAGGCCCTGTCTTTCTCCCCTCTGCCTTGCTTAAAAAAAAAAAAATTGATTACATTCTAAAGCCCGCCACTAAGGTCTATTCCCTTATTTGGCCATTTCCTCCTTCAGAGGCCACCAAGGTATTGAAGTTCAGTTCAAAACTCCCCTTTGGTTCACCTTATGAACATGCCAAATCAAAATATATCACCATAGCACTGTATCCTGGCCCACGATAACACAGACCTCCTCTTTTTCTCTTCTTAAAGGTTATACCCACAAGGTCATTTGCTGCTGTTTTTCTGTCTGAGACAGAGAGCGGCCACTTTTATCTTTTCTTCCCAGCTGAGTAAAGGATGTCTCTGTGAGAACAAGTGTGTGGGTGTAGTTTTGACCTAATGTAGGGTCCAGGAGGGAACCCCACTGAGCAGGAATCTCCTTCATTGATGCAGTGAGTGGATGGATCAGTGACCAACAACCATTTTTACACATTCCAGTCCTCCTGGGGCCCTTCCCTCATCCAACAGCTGCTGATTGGTAACTCCCCTGGCCTGGCTGGCCTATACAGTCCCCAGGTTATCAGGTGACAACCTTCTAGTGTCTGGTGTCCATGCTCTGTCCTGTGGGGTTGGGGAGACTGCATCTTTATGACCTTCACTGGTTAGGGTAGACTCCCAGAAACTGGTTGTTAGTTATACATATTCCGTCTAGTCTAGTTTGGTAGGAGGTTTCCCTCTTTCACTCTTGGTGGTCTCACTGTTGGAATCCGGGGTTCTTTCCCCCTCTGAAAAAGCTTCAGACCCACTGGGGTCCCTCTTTTGATATGGAGCCTGGGTGACCACCCACTCCCTCCCAGAGACCTCTCCTTGGCCTCTCAAGAGACACGGGGATGCCTGGTCACTCCATTTTGGCCCACTACCACGAAGGGTGATGGGTTCCACCCACTCCATTTTGACTGACTCACCCTTGGGACGTCACCTCCAGTACCTCAAATGGCTAAAACTCCCAGACATTAAATTTCCTAAGCTTGTTTACTATAGTGCCCAGGTTTGGCCTCTCTATCTATTACATAGTCAATCTAGATGGCTGCCTAACGGCTCTCAGGATTCTAACATTATTCAGGATCTTTACAAGTTTTGTGAGCAATAGAGATACTTTATGCCTCTGTTTTCTCTTCTGTCTGCTCCAAGCCCTCTGTGTAACTCCTACAGTGAATTTTTCCAAACTCCGTTGTTAACCTTTGCACCATTTTGTGTCCTATTTAACCCTCTGCCAGCTGCTGCACTGCCCATGCAGGTGTGCCCTCCCCCCGCTTTCTCATCCCCCACCCCAATCCTCCCACCCCTGGCCATATGCCCCAAGAGCCTGCAACTTTGCAGGCCATCTCAGCAGGCCTAAGCTGCTACAGTCTCCACTGCCCACAGGTATCAAAGTCTCCCACTTTGGGGTGTTAATGGTATTGAGCTGGTGCTGGGCATGGAACACAGACTCTCCACCACCCTAAGCAAGCATTTTCCACTGAGTTCTCCCAACCATTGTGTTTGTTCTTGAGGGACTCTCTTAGCTTCAATGTGTATTCAACTGGGGAGGGGAATAATGGGGGGGGGTCTAAAATCTCAGCTACTCAGTAGGTTGAGGGAGGATGATCTGCAGTTCGAGGCCTGCCTGAGCTACAGAAGGAGTTCAAGGACAGCTTTAATTCTGTCTCAAATTTTATAAAAGGAGGATGGAGGGTTTGGATGCTGCAGTTCCATAATAGAGTCTTACA